AGTACATCTGACATTGTTTTGAGATAATTAAAGTTAAAGTTGATTGCTTATTGTAAATTCTGCATGAACGCATGAAATGATTGTTGCGTAAAAGAATACAGTTCATGTAACTATTTCATATACCGTTTGCCACAGACTGAAAAAAACTGTATTTAACTAGTTTTAAGTCACTTGGATCCATATGCTTTTGACAATTTTGATCAATTTCTGTCAGGAAAAAAGGTATAAGTCGATTTTTTATAAGAATAACTAACATTTTATTATACAAAAAAGGTATCAAACAATACAACACGAACTTTAGCCGAATAATTCTAATTTTCGTAATCCGACATCACACTGTCTTTGCCTTCGTCCATTTCTGGACTTTCCTCAACTTCAACCATAACCGTCGTCTGATTTTGTTTTTTGGATCTTTTGTTTGCTTTTGCCTCATGGGGCATAGTTAAATAAAAGTCATGATGAATAGGTGGAATAAATGGTAGAAGTTGGGTTAGATGTTCCCATTTTATGTACGGAATCTTCACTGGAGTTGGATATAAGGGCTCGAATACTTCGTTATTTAGCAACAAAAATGGTCTTCCCCTTTTAAGCGACGAGCAATTCTCGCTTTGACACATAGGAACAAAAGGTGTTCTTACTTTACTATACAAAAAAGCAAAGAATTTCTATTTTTTGAATTGGAACCAGACTATCTCACGCGACTTTATCGGTTTCTTTTCAACATCCTTTTTTGGGTCAATCATTATACTGTTAAGATGTTGAAATGAAACAAAATCAGTTTTTTGCATTTCATAAACAGTAAATTTTTTAGATGTTTTTTTATAACTTTAGTCCAGTCCTCTGGAACAAGAACGGTTAATAAAGTTTTCTTGGCTTTCTCAATGCGGGCAAAAGAGCGATCGCAGTCCATATATGAATGTCCAATTTCAAAAAACTTTTGATCTATTTTTTCCAGGCTAGTAGCTTGGACTAAATACATAAACAACTTCGCAATATTTTTGTTCTTGTTCTGGCCCTCACATTGATCACTATAACATATCAAATGGGTAACACTTTTAAGAAGACTTTTGACATACTAAAAATAATGGTTTATAGAGTATCTTTATAATACTGTTTTATAAAACTCACCTTAAGTAAACAGAACCTATTTCCTGTGAACCTCTCTGAGCTATAGTTTCATTCCAAATAAACATCTGTGAAATTCCAGTAATCATGTCATGGTAATTCATGCTAATTGTACGTCCACAACTGGTCGTAAATAGTATACCTTGCTCGTGGTAACTACTGGTATTGGTAAAGTATTTTTGCAAATCAAAGCAAAACACTCGAGTCTTTTCTGGATTTTGAATCCCATACTCCACAATCAGCTTTTTTGGAGTTTTAACACTTTCAACTTTTCTTAGATGTAAATCATATTCTGTTTTATACTGACCTTCAGAGTCTGTCCGGTTTCTTATTAAATTGGTTAACCGGCCAAATTGGTAATAGTCACTTACCGGAATTGTTTTTCTTCTGTTTACTCTTTTTAAAACACACAAAATATCAGAAAAACACAAGAGCCGGTTTGCACGCTTCAATTATATTGAATCTATGTGACAAAACTTTGCAAACAATTTGGGAGTCAAGTGCGCTTAGATCCCTTTGACACTAAGAATAAATGCGATAAAACTTAGTAACTTTTTTGCCCGGTTAATAGATGGCCCCAAACGTCCCAGAATCACTTGGATCTCTTTGCTACCACACAAACACTACATTTAACTTTGGAAATATGGATCTAACTTATATTTTTAAAAAATGTCACTTAGACCCTTATGATTCTAACCCCTTCATATGTTGAGGTATTTGTCTGAAATGATAAATTTGGGAATTTCTATTTTTTTTTTAATTAATCATAAATTTTTCTTCGAAAAAATGGCGATAAAACAATTTTTGTTGAACTTTTGGCACAAAAACATTTCACATTTATGAATTAAAGTTGATATAATTATATACAGCCTGCTAAAAAATTCATGAAAGTAGGAACTAAAATATAACATTTTAAACTTTACCAAAAATTTATCCGTTGCGTTTTTTTGGGCATATGAGAATATTTATCATATATCATTATAGATTTTTTTTCTATTTCATAAAATAGGGATCAAACAAAATTAAACTGATGGATTTATTGTGAAATCTGGTAATGTGGAGGTAATTTTCAATTTCGTTGGCGCGACCGTTGTTGGGCCAACCAATTTGGACGTGTATGGCCCGCTTTAGTAATGTATGACTATATCGCTTATTCTTTGATTTTTCGTTTATTGAACAATAGGTAAATGAATATAATATGTAATAATAATAATACCTAATAATAGCTAAGAAACCCGTTTTCTAAATTCTTATCAATTTTAATCCTTGATCGAACATTTTTTCCAATAATTCATCTCGTTTATTAGTAATAATTATTAACAATAATTCCAAAAAAAGATAAGAAAGATAGGCAGTGTCAAATTGGGGAGCTACAGCGTCAGTATACCAATATAAACGTAGTCGTATTAATTATACCTCTAACTTTTCCTAATTATGTTGTAACACAAAAAGTAAATAAGCCTTGCTTGTAAAGTCTCAGTTTGTTTTGTGATTAGTATTGGTTGATATTTAGTGAACGAATGCTGTGCGTGCGTGCGTTTGTGCGTTATGCAGGACCAAATTGATGAAAGAGACGATTTTCGGAACAGTGAGTTTTTGATTATCTTTGTGTTTTATCTAATAATTATTTTTATCGCAAATATGTGGGTGTTTGGTAGATTATTTATATTATTTGTTTCTAGTTTGTTTGAACACATAATACTTCACATAACGCGTATCCTTTTATTTACTTAAATCTTTTAATATGAATGACGAATCAATATTAATCGACTAGTGAAATAAAACTACCTAAGTAACAAAAATAGTACGGGTCTACAATCTGTATTACATAAAAATAGACGCCAGTTAGAATTAATTTATTCTAATAATAACTAATATATCTTGAGCTTATTTATAAAATGTATCAATAGTATTTTGAAGATATGAATAATAATTTGTTAATATGGAAAATTTTGAGGGACTTTATGTTTTTTTAATTTATTTTCTGTTGAAATTTAAGCGCGGACAATTTTGAAACAAAGCAATGATTCAATGGACATACATATGTATATGTGCATATTGTAGACCATAATAAACTAATTATATCTATGTTAAATAATACTGAGACATTTTTCCGTATGTTTAAACTGTGTATAAATTTGAATGCATTTTTAAAAACTCCTATTGTTATCTAGAATATGTTCTTTTTGATTATTTTGCTTAAGCCGGATTCAAACGACTCGTGTAGGTACCTACTTGGGCAAACATTAGATGTTGACATACAGGGTTCGACGATAGTGCGTCGGGCATCTGTAGCTCCTATAATAAAAAAATATTAAGTTAAAAAATTATTAAGTTAAAAAAAATATTAATTACTAAGTATTATTTTTTTTAAAAAAAGGCTGAAAAATACAGGGTGGTCCGAACTATATTCCAGAAACTTCGGCAGCATATTCTGCAGATTGAAATAAGTAAAAATGTTCGTATAAATGTATGTTCCAAAATTCTTAGTTTCGGAGATACAGGGTGTAGAAATTTAATTTTTATTTCGATTTTTTCCAAATAATTTCTGAAGTAACGTCAATATTTGTATGAAAATTGGTGTCTAGGAGTTTTTTGACATGACAAATTTGATTTTGATGTCAATATGACTCTTACTTATAGAGTGCGCCACCTACATACTTTTTAACTGGTTTGAAGAATAATAACTTTTCGTCTGTACCTGTATAAAACTACTGTGTTAAGAAATGTACATTTACGATGTTTTTTATGCAAAAAAGGTCTCTTGGTAAAAATCGCTACGAGTAAAAGTTCTCGAGATATTTCGAATCTAAATTATCAATACTCTGTCATCATTGACATAAATTAAACACGTTGACAAAATAGTTATTAGACTGAAACCATAAATTTGAAATGTTTTTGTGTCAAAAGTTCAACAGAAACTGTCTTATCATAAAATAAAAAGTTCCCAAATTTATCATTTTAGTCAAATAACTAAACTAATCTACTCAGCATGTTTATTTTATGTCAATAATGACATGTATTGACTATTACCGAATGGTAATAGTATAAATATCTTGAGAGAACGGTTGCTCGTAGAGATTTTTACCAAGAGACATTTTTTACGTAAAAAATAATGGAAATGTATATTTTTTCACTCAGTAGTTTTATACAGGTACGGACGAAAAGTTATTATTCTCCAAAACAGTTCAAACGCATGTAGGTGGCGCCTCCTACAAATATGAGTCATATTGACATCAAAATCAAGTTTCTCAAAAACAGGTCAAAAAGCTCTCAGACACCAATTTTCATCCAAATATTGACCTTAACTTCAGAAATTATTTGGAAAAAATCGAAATAAAAATGAAACTTCTCCACCTTGTATCTTCGAAACTAAGCGTTTTAGGACATACATTTATAAGAACTTTTTTACTTATTTTTATCTGCAGAATATGCTGCTGAAGTTTCCCGAATACAGTTCGGACAACCCTGTATATATTTTTTAATTATTTATTAATATCTCTGAAATTATGAAAACATATTTAATAATATCTTATGATTATGTTAAGTGATCAGAAAGGAAGCCAAAAATGATCCCGATCCATTCACACTAGAATTTCTAGAATGAAAAACAGGAAAGTGTTTTCATGTTTTCAGCTATTCCAAAGTTGAAAAACTGAAAATTATGCATTTCCGCATAAAATTTTTCGTGACTTTCTATTTGGAAAGGCTTCCAAATACTCAATAAACAAATATTTTTTACATAACTGATTTCAAGTAAAGGAAAGTTGAGCCTTCGATCATATATAATTCTTTATTGTATATAGTTTCTTAAAACTTGCTACATTATAAATATTTTATATACCAATAAGTAATAAATCATTAATTATTTATAGGACAGCCTATAGAATACGATCCATACTTTGACGGACCTACAAAAAAACGATCGTGCACTGATGTCATATGCCTGTTACTATTTTTGGTTTTTCTTGGCTGCTGGGTCGGGCTAGGAGCATGGGGTAAGATCGCCAAACCTTTTACGGAATTTTAACGTTCGCTGTGTTGATTTTTATTTTTTATATCAGCTATTAAAAAAGGAGATCCATCACTTTTACTGGTACCCACAGACTCCAACGGCCAGAGATGTGGTTTGGATTCGGCCGTACAGGACAAACCCTATTTATTCTTCTTCGATCTTACGAAATGTTTCGATTTGACAACCGCTTTTTCAGGATGCAATACTCCTCAGGTATATATTCTATACGGGTGGTCCGAACTATATTCCGGAAACTTCGGCAGCATATTCTGCAGATAAAAATAAGTAAAAAAGTTGGTAGAAATGTACGTCCTAAAATACTTTTAGTTTCGGAGATACAGGGTGTAGAAGTTTCATTTTTATTGCGATTTTTTCCACATAATTTATGAAGTAACGTAAATATTTGGATGAAAATTGGTGTCTGGTAGTTTTTTGACATGAGAAATTTGATTTTGATGTCAATATGACTCTTACTTGTAGAGGGCGCCACCTACATATTTTTAACTGGTTTGAAGAGTAATAACTTAGTCCGTACCTGTATAAAGCTACTGACTACTGAGTAAAAAAATACACAAATCGCTACGAGTAATGGTTCTCGAGATATTTGGAATTGAATTTATCAATACCTGTCATCATTGACATAAATTAAACATGTTAACTAAATAGTTATTATACCGGAATCATAAATTTGAAATGTTTTTGTACCAAAAGTTCAACAGAAACTGTTCACAGAAAAATTTATTATTAATTTAAAAAATAAACATTTCCCGAATTTATCATTTCAGTCAAATAACTATCTACTCAACGTATTTATTTTTTGACAATAATGTATTGACTATTTCCATTCTAAATAAGTATCTTGAGAATTGTTACTCATAGCGATTTTTACCAAGAGACATTTTTTACGTAAAAAGTCACGAAAATGTATACCTATTTTTTTCGCTCAGTACTTTTATACAGGTACGGACGAAAAGTTATTACTCTTCCAGACGGTCAAAATACATGTATATAGCGCCCCCTACAAATGGGAGTCATATTGACATCAAAATCAAATTTCCCATGTCAAAAAACTCCCACACATTAGGACATACATTTATACGAACTATTTTACTTATTTTTATTGCTGCCGAAGTTTCCGGAATACAGTTCGGACCACCCTGTATATGTTTTATATTTTCTTTTCGAGAAATGAACTCGTTATAAATGTATAGAGATTATTTATATTCTTTTAGGTTTGCGTTAAGAGCTGTCCTGATTTTGTATTTATAAAAAATACTGAATATGGAAATAATCTAACACAAGTATTGCCATATTGTAGTTATGATGTCCAGGATAGCAATAGCTATGATGAAAATAACTGTCCCACATGGGTGGTTCCTAGTGATTCATGTAAGTACCATAGCAACAAAACACTTAAATAATATGACAAACAAGGAAATAAGTTTACTATAATTGAAACGTTTGTGTTTTGCCGCAAATGCTTCAAATCTATTGATTAGTTATAGGTATGGTTTTTTATTTGTTAAATATATTAAAGAAATACTATATAGGGTGATCAGAATTGTATTCGGGAAACTTCGGCAGTATATTCTGCACATGTAAAAAAGTTGTATAAATATATGTCTTAAAATGCTTCATTTCGGAGACACAGCATGTAGATATTTAATTGAAAATTTGATTTCGATGTCAATATGACTGCTACCAAAGATAATTTTACTACGAATGGATAACCCACGTAAATGGGATTTGTGTGAACTATAATATTCTTTGCTGCTACTACTTGAGGAGCACCACCTATATGTTTTTTCAATGTTTCACAGAGCAATCTCTTTTCGATCGTACCAGTATAAAACTACTGAGTGCAAAATATACAGTATTTTTTTAATCTTCAAACCAGTGATACTGATATCTAAATTGAATTTATCATGTCAAAAAACACAAAAATATGGATCTTAGTTACCCACATCCAAATATGAAGATTAGTTCAGAAATTACATGGAAAAAATCGAAATATAAATGAAACTTCTAGACCCTGATGTATCTTCAAAACAAAGCATTTTAGGAGAAAGTTTTATACGAACTTTTTTACTTATTTTTATCTGCAGAATATGTTGCCGAAGTGTCCCGATTTCAATTCCGACAACACTGTGTATCATAAAATACCGTATGATCGAATAAAAACGGCGTCAGCGATGGCTATGAAATGAAGGTCGCTGTCACTTTATATGTAAATTTATATGGGAAATATCATCGATCTACTGGATGCCGTTTTTTTCGATCATACGGTACTTATAAATAGGTTGTTAAGATTATTTCAGGAGCAGACTTACTAAAAGCATTTTGTCCATTTTTTAAAGATTTTCAACCATAGGTGGCAATGCAAATTACATATACAGAGTTCCAATATTATGTCAGAAAAGACGTTCTGAATTCATTTTATCCCATAGATAAAGGAAATAAATTTAGATTGGAAAGCCCGTCAAAATATATAATTGAGTTGGGTCGCGATCGTTGTACGCGATCTGGCACTGCTATAGCCGTTGCTAAGAATAACCGCAAACAATAACAGAAATAATTTTCTCTTGTCAAAGTCAGATCTTTAAAAATTATAAAATCTTTTAAAATTTAAACCGCCCTCATTGAAAAAACACCGAAAAGTGTTTAAAGCGTCCATTCTCTAATTATTGCTATCTTGTGAGTTTAATTTAAATTTTATTTACTTAAAAAGCTGTGTTGTTAACTGCAAAGACCATCGTGGATCGTGGCATCGTCGGTTTCCAATGTTTCATATGTATTTCATACATGTCCTTATACAGGGTTGTTCACCACATACGACACGGAGCATTGTAGCCAAACGATTAGATTTTTACAAATTGTAAGTTTTGGGTTCGTTAAAGGACTATTAGAGTTACAATTTAAAAATATTTTTCAAGATACAGAGTGTACCAAATAAATAAAAAATATCAAAGTTGTATTTTTTTAAATGGAACACCCTATATATTACTGCATTTTTAGTTTCTAAGATTAAAATAAAGGTAAATTTGATTAAGGTTTATCATACTTAAACCTTACCGTTTTTGAAATATTTTCAATTTTGTGAAATTGCAATATAAATTTTAAGGCTTCATTTCTCCGAGGGTATCAAAGTTTTTAATACTAAATATTTACTGAAGTTTATTTATTGATGAGTTATTGTGTTACAATAATAAAAATTATACTACCTTATACAGAGTGTCTAAAAATTTATTTTAAATAATTACTAGCTTTAAACGGCAATAACTTGTTTAATTTAAATGGAACACCCTGTATATTTTATGAGAATCAGATGCACAATTTAATTGTCCATCAAATTGTATTATACCACTTTTTACCTATCCCTTGGAGTTCTCGTAGAAAATGCATTTCCTTATAATTTAGACCTCATTTATCAATATACCCATGGAATATGGACATTTTAGATTGTTTTTAAAACAACAAATGTACAAAATATACAGGCTAGTAATATTATCGTTTTTAGTAAAACGATAATATTACTAGCCCATTTGTATGCAAAAAGAAAACTATTTAAATCTTTATAAAAGAGTATACCATTAATTAAATATATCACAAGTATTTCCGCCCAAATACTAATGTATTACATACTTAATTGTGTTCGTTAATAAATTATTCTAAATAAATGTGGATTTGAATCAGAAATCAATATAATAATAAGTTATGAGAATGAACGTCTCTGTTATAAATAAGCATTTGTCAAAAAACAAAATATCATTTTTAAGGTGTTAGTTTTTTTACCACACTGTCTAATACACATACATAATTCAGTTTTTTTTGGAGCAATTATTATTAATCAACGCAAGTTAATGTAGTTTGAATACTGGAATCATATTAATTGGTCCTCTTTAACAAATATTTAAACATTTTTTTTTATTTTTAAATGAAATAAACGAACTATATAGACAATAGACTTTAAAAATTTGGTACATCTTTAAAAATAATCTAAAATGTCAGTATTCCATGGGTATATTGATAAATGAGTTCTAAATTACAAGAAAATGCATTTTCTACGGAAACTTGAAGAGATAGGTAAAAAATAGTATAATACAGTTTGATAGACAATTAAATTGTGCATCTGATTTTCATAAAATATACAGGGTGTTCCATTTAAATTAAACAAGTTATTGCCGTTTAAAGCTAGTAATTATTTAAAATAAATATTTAGACACTTTGTATAAGGTAGTAAAATTTTTATTATTGCAACACAGTAACTTATCAATAAATAAATTTCAGTAAATATTTAGTATTAAAAACTTTGATACCCTCGGAGAAATAAAGCCTTTATACTGCAATTTCACAAAATTGAAAATAGTTCAAAAACGGTAAGGTTTAAGTGTAATAAACCTAAATCAAATTTACCTTTATTTTAATCGTATAAACTAAAAATGTAATAATATACAGGGTGTTCCATTTAAAAAAATACAACTTTGATATTTTTTATTTGTTTGGGACACTCCGTATCTTGTAAAAATATTTTTAAATTGTAGCTCTAATAGTCCTTCAACGAACCCAAAACTTACAATTTGTAAAAATATGATCGTTTAGTTACAATATTCCGTATCGTATGTGGTGAACAACCCTGTATAAAATAAAGTTTCTTGTACGCAACACACTGTATTTTATTTATAAAATTTTATAAAATTAAAAGAAAATAATAATAAATTTGAATAAATAATATTTGGCGATATAATATAATAATAATAATAGCTCCCGTATATAGCGTTTCACGCCGTGGGAGTAACAAGGTACAGCTTGCCATGCCAGAGTCGTTCTGTCTAACCTCATCTCAAACCGGCCTCAAACCTTTGATATTTGAAAGTTACATGAACATACAACATACATAAACTACATTAACTACATGTAATGTAGTTTATGTAGTTTTTAAAAGTAACATGTAGTTTTCCGAACCCTGCTTGGGTGTAGCAAGGTACAGCTTGCATGCCATGCTAGAGCCATTCGGTATACAAGGAAGATAATGTGGCTAGCACTACGCTTCAACTGCCTATTATTACCTCACGATTGTGAACCCCAAGTACTCATTTAAGGCTGAGTCGACCTAGGTACCCAAACTATTTTTATTTTAATACAAATAGTCGGCTGATGAAATGCCGGGTGTAGGATTCGAACCCACTACCTTGATATTGGTAGACGAGAGCCTGTACCTCTACGCCACCGGGCACCTTAATAATTGGCCATAATTGGCCTTAATATTTGGCAATATAATTCCGGAAAAAACCGAACCGATCCGAAATTATTTAAAGCTTTGGGTCGCGACCGTTGCAAGAATAGCGCCAAATAGTATTTACATTTTCCTTATGGGCACTTTCCAATCTAAACTTGTGTCATTACGAAAATACCTTATCTTTCTATGTGCCGTATGTCCATTGACGGTAGACAAACAAACGTATGTCCATTTGTGCTGCGTGGATATACTGCTGTTTGTTTGTCATTGCCAGATAAAGAGTGTTTTTTTTTGGTACTACGACTTCTCTATTTTTTGAATAATACTACTTAAAATAATGAATGGAACTACCACTGGGGACCATGTAGTTGAGGATACGAACCGTGGTAGCAGAAAAATAAAGAGAAATTTCACGTCTAAAGGACACTCAACAGGTTTTTTTTCAATTTTTTTTTTGGATATCATCAAAACTAGATTTTTCACGTATAGGTGTACTATTTTTATGATTTTTTATCCATTTCTTAAGTATACTAGTTTTCCGGTAATTTTCTTTGAAAAAGCGTAGTAGATTTCTTTTTTGCTTGCCAAAATTCGAAAAAATGGATAAAATGCATCTAGAAAATCTGCTCTTCGTTTATACTAACGGGAAATACGAAAAAATTTGATCGTTGTCCATTATTTAGGACGTTAATGGCATTTTTAATTTTATTCAGTGCTTAAAAGATGCGTTTTCAATGCGGCAAATTTGAAAAATCTCCAGTGGAACCTCAAAGCATTCAAAGAGGTTAATGTTCAGACCTTTCAGGATTACACGAATCCGGTCCAATTGTGGTTAAGTTTAATCGTGCATAACGGTATAGTCGCTGTTAAAGACGACCAAAACATCCATGAGGTTCAGTTAATTTATTTTATTAAACTAAACATATAGGATAAAGGGGCATTATGCATATTAACATAGTAGATTAGAACTCTCTTCTATTAAGTAGTTATTGTGCTGAGTAACTTCAACTAACTGTAAAATAAAATATACTTACCCCAGTCAAATTAGTTAAAAATGACCCATCGGTGGAAAACATTCCCACAGTTTTGAAATGGGCTTAAACGATTCCTCTAGACTTGTGATGATGTGTGTCAAAAGTTCCCGAAGATAGACGATGAGCTCGATGAGTGGGGAGGTGTTAAATGTCAGTTTTTTCACTTTATTGCTTATATCTCGGAAACTATGACATCTACCGAGAAACGCTCTATGTATAAAAATAAAGCTGATAAAATTCTCTATAAAAATGATTCTATACATTTTTGTTCCCGGACTTATGGTTTTCGAACTATGGCATATTCCAAATCCGTACAAACACATTTCATTGCACATTTTTCTTTCAAAGAGCTTTGGAGAAGTACGATATCATATATTACACTTCCTTTAACTGCACCTACAGGAAGAAGTCATGTAGAATATCATCGCAACATACAACCTCAGGGAACCAGACCTTAAATGCTAATGCATCAAATGCTTCGCGCTACCTTAACATTGGAAAAATATACTGCAGGCGGGGATAGAAATCTTCAACTCTTAGCAATCATGGACCATCATTCTTGATTTTCGTATACTTTCTACAATATTTGCAGCTACGCTAATTGCTGTGGTATACTTTTTTTACCGTAAGGCAGGTATGCATTAATCTTTAATTTGCAGTTATTATTAAGTTCAGTGTGTACTAGTGCTCTCCAACGGAAGACAAAAAGTCACGATGCAATAAAAACTTGAAAGATAACATAAGGACCTCTTAATATTACCATTATTAATATGAAAGCTTAAATTTAGACTTTAATTGGATTTTAAATGCGAAAATACAATATGAGAAATAGTGTTAATTTTGTCAACCCAGTAGCTCTTAAAAGGTTAGACCTATGAAAAAAATGCATTCAACCAATTTTGTAGAGAATTTTCTGAGCTTCAATTTTCTATATAGGTTATATTTTCGTATGTGTCATATTTTCCGAGTTATAAGCTAAAAAGTTATAAAAGTGACATTTAACCCCTCCCCGCTCCTCGAGCTCATCGTCTATCTTCGGGGACTTTTGACACATATCAGCACGAGTTTAGAGAAATCGTTTAAAACCATCTTCAAAACTGTGGGATTTTTTCCACCGATGTCTAATTTGACTGGGCTAACGTAGTAAAGAAAATAATTACTAGACTTACAGTATAATGTCTTACTACGCGGGGTTTCTATATTATCAGTAATTTTGTTCTACTAGCTGCAACAAAACGAGATATTGATCGAAAAAAAAACAGCTTCAAAGACGGATGGGAAATGACAATCCATGATAAATTTGACGAGGTCACTTTCTAAACGCCATTTACTAAAAATTGACATAAAACTTGACAAAAATTATCAATAATTATAGAAAGAGTAAAAAAGGATACAACGACGTTTCCAGATATAAAAATCTATTTCCAGATCAAAATGAACTTGCCACAAACATTTTGCAATTATTTCAATGGTCGTTTCTTTTGATGTTATTCTTCATAACAACGAGGTGGCTTTGGTGATTATTGTGGTGTACGATTGAATATGGTTCTTAGTATCGAAGATTGTGCAAAAGTAAATGATCTGGTTTAATATGGCCGAAATTATAAATATTCGCTTGGTCCTTGAAGAAGAATGGGAAAACACAACACAATATATTTGCAGCCTCATTAACAGTATGAACCGACGTCTACAGACAGTTAAAGCAGCCGGGTGGCCGGGGGAAGCAATACAAAGTATTAGAGTATTTTTTAACTTTGTTTGTTTGTACGCTTAGTTACGTCTTAGTAGTTACGTCGTAGTTGTTGTCGTTAGTTCTATTAGTGTTACTAATATTTATTGAAACCAATGTATTAGATACCAATAACAGAACAGGAAATAAAGGCCTCCATAAAACAGCTTAAAAACAACAAACCGCAACAAATCAGCTGGCTGTGACGCGATTCCGGCGGAAATCTATGTGTGCAAGTAAAGAACTTATTGGTCATCTTAAGGCTCTCTTCGATATCATATGGGAAAACGGAGAGATACCGCAGGACTTTTGCAACTCAAATATAGTGAATATATTTAAGAACTAAATAAGTGCATCAGATTGCGGAAACTACCGGGGAATTTCACTCTTGGCTATCGGAGGAAAAATTCTTGCAAAAATTATATCAAACCGCCTGCACCCACATTCCCGTCGATTCCATATTTCCCATCCGCCAACTACAGGAAAAAGTAAAAGAACAGCAGTGTAAACTTTATGTTGCATTGATCGACCTAACAAAAGCCTTCGACCTGTGAACAGAGATGCACTTTGGACAATTATGACAAAGTTCGGAGTACCCAACAAATTTCATACAGTGTGTAAAAGGCTCCATAACAACAACAAGTTAAGAGTGTCACATCATGGATTACCTGAGCGATCCCTTCCTAACAAACACAGGCGTTAGGCAGGATTGTGTCTTAGCGCCTCTCCTATTCAACATATTCATGGCAGCGCTCTCCATTATAGTGGACAGCAAACTGCAGAAGAGAGGATTGGGCATTAGATACAGATACGACGGCGGTCTGTTCAACATAAAAAGACTCAGGGCAAAAACACGTACAAAATTCATCACAGAACTTCAATACGCTGATGATTGCGCTGTAGTTGCAAAACTGTACAGCAATTATAAGAAATGTTGAACACATATACCTGGGCATACGAGGCTTTGGGCCTTAAGCTAAACATCGACAAAATTAAAATCATGTGCACTCCGAGATCACAACAATGCTATAAAAATCGGAGAAGAAAGTAGCGGAATTCAGTTATCTCGGCAGTTTGATTTCGAAAAAGGCCAATATCGACTCTGAAATTCAGCACAGGATTAGCAGCGCCTCAAGAGCATTCTGGAAATTAAAAGAGAGGGTTTTCTACAACCATGACCTGAGCACAAAAACGAAACTTGCAGTGTACCGAGCAATAATAATCCCCCCCATGTTATATGGGAGCGAAACCTGGGTGCCGTATCGCCGACACATGAACGCATTAAACAAGTTGCAACAGAGACACCTTAGACAACTCTTAAGAGTCCGGTGGTTCCATCGTGTCTCAAAGGTATCGGTCCTTGAAAAAGCTAACTGCGAGAGTATTGAAGTCATGGTTACAAAATCCCGACTAATGCTGGATTCAGAGTTCCGTAGCCGTAAGACGTAAGCCGTATCGTTAGCCGTAAGACTTAAGACGCAGGGAAAGCAATTCATAGTTGCGTTAAGACGTAACGATAACTTCATCGTAAGCGTGCGCATTACCGTTTTTAATAGGTTATGTTGTTGTTTGGGTTGTGAATGTTGTGAATAAAACTATAATACTCCTTATTTATTTTGTTATTATTAATTTAATTGAACTAAAATGGACACGGACAATACTATTTTCGTTGCCGAAGTGAAATATATTATAAAAGTTGTAGAAATGGCTACCGAGTACCACCGAACCTAGCCGACAACACCCGATTCGATAAGACGTAACGTAAGAATTAAAATTGGTTCATTTCTTACGTCTTACGGCATACGGCATACGGTGATCTATGAACGCAATCATATGATTGTGAAGGTCGATATCCCTTACGTCTTAACGATACGGCTTACGTCTTACGGCTACGGAACTCTGAATCCAGCATAAGATGGGCTGGTCACGTATGCAGAATGCAAGAACACCGCATACCAAAATCACCGCTTTACAGTGAGCTTGTAGACGGTAAGAGGAGGCCAGGTGGACAACTTAAAAGGTACAAGGACATTTTCCACGAAAATTTAAAGGGGATTAACGTGCAGAATGAGTGGGAAGTAGCAGCTCACAATAGAACTCAATGGAGAAGAATTGTAAACTCAGTTAAAAGCGAGAACCAAAAAGTTAAGAGGCAACAAAGCAATGAGATTTTTGAATGTCCGGAGTGCGGTAGACAAATAACATCACGTATTGGGCTTTTCAGTCACAGAAAAGCTCACGAAGAAAACGCCTTGCGTGACCATCTTCTGATGCGTGTCAAATACTCGTCAGCGAGTAATGGCTGTATGTATGTATTGAAACCTGAGTTCTAAGCAGTGTCGATATGACATTCCGACAATAGTGACCAAATGCCACCACGTGATATTAAAAAATAACATAATAAAGTAACGATAGTCGAAAAAAATGCATATTGTTGATGGCAAGTTTATTTTGCTCTTAAAAATTAACCAAGGCATGTACTGACATGAGTCAAAAAAGAAAATGCTAAGGAAACATGGCTCTGATCGAAAAATAATGTTTTAGAAAAAATCTCTCACGATGTTATTGCACAGGGTGTTTTAAAGTTAGGGCAAAAAAACAACCCTTCAATTAACCCTGTATAATAAGCCAAATACTAAAGTTTATAAAAAAACTGAGTTGAAGAATTAAAGTTGATATATTTATATACAGTGTGCTAAAAATTCATGAAAATAGGGCTAAAAGTAAAAAATATATAACACTTTAAACTTGAGAAAAAAATTCTCGGGTTCGTTTTTTTACATCTCAGTGTATTTTTAGCAATTAATATAATTTCTTATGTGTTTTAGTCGAAAAAAGGTGCATACCTCAAATAAGCTCTGTCTCAAATTATGTCGACCAAATTGCAGCAGCTATTAACGAAGCAGATTCCACCAATCTTTTATCCGAGATTCGGCAAGCTATAACAAATGTCAAATTACTCTCCAACGCTGAACAGGTTAAACAAATATTTATTTTATTTGCTGTGTCTGTTTTTTCTCGTTTTGTTTTCATTCAATGTTCCTCCATTTTTTTTTATCATTTAACTGGATCGTGGCCAAATATATTTTACATTGTGTGGAGTTAGTAATTGCTATCTAAAAGATCGCGGTGTTATTTCATTCATCCTTTTAGTTGCATAATCGTTTTATTTATAACATAAAATTAGTGTGGCTCATCATCAGTTAAGATAGAAATACAAGATCTATTTATTACATTTTGTATATACAGAGACATCTATCCGACAATTACTTCGATCTATAGAAGGTTTTTCACTCAACTTGCTCATTAACTTTATTGTTTTTGGATACAAAAAAATTATATAAATATTTTAATTTGAAAACATGGAAATATTAAAACTTTTTTTTATACAGAGTGGTCCGAACTGTATTCCGGAAACATAGGCAGCATATTATGCAATTAAAAATAAGTAAAAAAAATATAAATGTATGTCCTAAAATGGCTTTGTTTCGGAGATACCGGATGTAGAAATTTCATTTTTATTTCGATTTTTTCCAAATAATTTCTGATGTAACTTCAATATCGGGATGAAAATTGGTGTCTGGGAGTTTTTTGACATGAGAAATTTAATTTTGATGTCAATATATCTCTTATTTGAAGAGGGCCCACCTACATGTGTTTCAACTGTTTTTGGAGTAATAACTTTTCGTCCGTACCCGTATAAAACTACTGAGTGAAAAAATATACATTTCCGCTATTTTACATAAAAAATGTCTCTTCGTAAAAATTGCTACGAGCAACCGTTTACAAGATATTTAGAATTAAAATAGTCAATACATGTCATTACTGACAAAAAATAAACATATTGAGTAGATAGTTATTTGACTGAAATGATAAATTTGGGATCTTTTCATTTCTTTAAATTAATCATAAATTTTTCTTCGAAAAAATGATGATAGAACAGTTTTTGTTGAACTTTTGGAACAAAAATATTTCAAATTTATGATTTCAGTCTAACTATTTAGTCAACATGTTTAATTTATGCCAATGATGACAGGTATTGATAATTCAGCTTCCAAATATCTCGAGAACCATTATTCGTAGCGATTTTTACCAAGATACCTTTTTTACGTAAAAAACGTCGTAAATTTATATTTTTTACTCAGTAGTTTTATACGGGTACGGAAGAAAAGTTACCTTTCAAACCAGTTAATGAATATGTAGGTGGCGCCCCCTACAAGTAGGTGTCACATTGACATAAAAATCAAATTTCTCAGGTTAAAAAACTTCCAGACACCAATTTTCATCCAAATATTGACGTTACTTCAGAAATTAATTGGAAATAAAAAATCGGTAAAAAAACTTTTAAGTTAAACGGTTTTATCTTATGTGCACTGAAAACTAGAAAATAATAATAACAATTAGGTATTTTGAACTTCTAGTTCAGAAATATTTTAGTACTAGGCAGAATAGCTTTTAGGCATATTAGACTAAAATAAAAACGTGGGGCCCCTCTGAAATCCTACCTATGGCAAAGCATATCTTTATACTTATGCTAGCCTAGACTCATGACGCTCAGGTGTTTCTGACTCTACCAGCTGCCTTTGTCTCTCACGTTGTGCTATTAACCTGGCATCATGTTGCTCAGGTGTTTCTGTTGCTAACCGTTCTCTTCGTTTCTGTAGTCGACTATAGGTTTCATTTTCACTTTCTTTTGCACGTTTCGTTCTATACTTTTCTTTCGTCTTTCCGAGCCTTCTTTTTCGTTGTGTAGGAGTTTCGTTTTTATTTTTGTTTGTTTTTTTTATTTATTGTTTCCATGTTGTTCCCACGAGTAATGGACATTTTAACGGTCGACCCCCCCAGAGGTCCAGTAGAGGGGCAAAGCTGTAATATACAACAAGAGGCGCCCAATCTTGAGGGGAAAACGCTTGCGACATTACATTTTTAGCCACCCTAATGCCATACAGTCCTCAGCATGTTTTAACCTATTACCTTAACTTGGGTGGTAAAGCTACCGTTAACTACGTAGGTACATTTAATCACCTATTTTTTTTATCTGTCCTTCTAACGTCACACAATCTTGGACACAACTGTTCTGGACACGACTACTCATGCCCTCACCTAATACGCCATTTTGTAACGACCTCCATCTTGGATTTTAAATTTTGTCATAATCACAGTATTCTACTAGTGTCGCCCTTTCATTTGATACCCATATTGAGGGGGTTGTGGAAAAATATGAAATCCGTCATTTTGTACCGGCGGCCATCTTAGATTTACAATGTTATTGATATTACTATATTGTATTGTCATCGGAACTAAAGGTGTGTATCAAATTTCAGATCAATCTGACAACAGGAAGGTACTTAAATTTCAATTTCTAATTTTGACCCAAATAAACAAACAAAAAATAATAAATACCGTACGGGTCGAGCTAAATAAAACCGTTTAAAAATCGAAATAAAAATGAAGCTTCTACATCCTGTATCTCCAAAACTAAGCATTTTAGGACATACATTTATATGAACTTTTTTACTTACTTTTATCTACAGAATATGCTGCCGAAGTTACCGGAATACAGTTCGGACCACCCTGTATATTCTATTATAAAAATAAAGGTTATTAAAAAAATAACATCAGTTTTCTTTAAATAAAATCAAAATTATTAAGATCTTACGATTATTATTATTTTTACATACATTTTTAGTCTTTACATATTATTTCTTTACATTTTACTAACATGCATGAATTATATTTTTGTTATACTAATGTTGTTGGCTTTTTATACAGTACGTCTGTTCGTTCTGTAGCTACGGGGAATCCGTGAGAGGGGAAACGATATTCTCTCCAGCAGACGTATAGTACGTCTGCTGGATCTGTGTCTATGAAAGGAATGCCGACAAAAAACATTTAAATAAACAGCAATATATTTTATACGCCGACTTGACGAGTACGTCACCGCAAATAGCTCCACCCACTCATTTTATTGGCTACTTGTAAATTTGTCGAATTTTTATTGATGGGACGCGTCGTCTAATTTTTACGAAAAACATCGAGAGAATATCGTTTCCCCTCTCACGGATACCCCGTAGCTACAAAACGGACAGACGCACTGTACTGTACATTTCTATACTAATATAATTAATAAATCTTTTTGTGCTCACTAAGGTAATGTAGATTTCTATCTTTTTATGCTCACTAAGGTAATGTATAACATTGTAACTTTTTAAAAATAAAAAATATATATACAGGGCGACTCAATAAGTGCAAATAATTTCAGGGCTGGTAGATCTCGATAAAAGAAACATATTTTCTCTTTGCCGTTTTTCACATAAGTTCAAAATAACTGAGTTATTCAAGTTTTAAAATTTAAAAAAAATGTCTTCTAAAAAAGTTGAGAATCACCGGATTTTTTTCTGTATTTGCATCATTTAGTGCAGTAGCCATAGTAATATTATATGAGAGATAAGAAATACCATGGAAAAATTTGCGGTGAGCACGCAGTTCTAAAAAGTTTTCTAAAATATACAGGAAAATTTAAAAGAAAATGCACGATTTTCAACATCTATTTTTGCGAAAAAAATTCTTCCTAGATGTGTTCCTGGGGTCGAAATATACCTCCTCTAAATATTTGCATTTATTTAAGACTCACCCTGTATATATAGCCTATAATTAATTTTTATCTCATAGCAGGAAATATCTATTTCATTTTAATAAGTATATTTTTTATTATATTTTAAAATACTATAGAACTTTTTATTTAACTAATTTCATTTTACAATAAGCTACTATCTCATACACATAATTTTATACATATTTTTAATCTTATTATAATTTCTATACAGGGTGTCCCAGAAATGAGTGCAAGTATTTTAAGGGGTGGTAAATCTGGATAAAAGAAACATTATTTCTCTTTATCGTTTTTCAAATAAGTCCAAAATAACGGAGTTATTCTACTTTGAAAATTTCCAAAAAAATGATTTTTTGCTAAAATTTTGACAACCACTGGATCTTTTCTGGATTTTCTAACCTAACCTAACCTAACCTAACCTTGGCGTGTTTCTGGGGTTGGACTATACTACCAGTTAAAATACTTGCACTTATTTCTGGGACACCCTATATATCAAATATCAAATCTCTTGGATATTTTAGGTTGCTCAACAAATTATAGCCGACGTTATTACATCATGGTGGAAAATATTAATTGGAGTTGTATTTGCTCTTTTGGCCTGTATTATTTTCATTCTTATGTTAAGGTAAGGCATTCTGTTTTATTTTGATAAAGTTCTATAATATTTTTACCTTGTATATATAAATACACTGTATTATATACATATATATATACATATTGTATTATATACATATATATAAATACATTGTGAAGACTCTAATGTATTGTTTTTTCGATCTTGTTTTTCAATGACAAATTTAAATGTTTAACAAATTAACGGATTGATGAAATAACGAATTGGTTAATTAACGGATTGACGAAATGAAGAATTGACGAATTAACGAATTGACGGATTGGCGAATTCACCAGTTATTAACGGATTGACGAAATGACGAATTGACGAATTAACGGATTGGCGAAATGAAGAATTAACAAATTGACGGATTGGCGAAATGAAGAATTGACGAACTAACGGATTGGCGAATTGGCGAATTAACGGATTGACGAATTAACGAATTGACGATTTGACTAATTAACGGATTGACGAAATGACGAATTAACGGATTGGCGAATTGAAGAATTAACAAATTGACGGATTGACGAAACGATGAATTGACGAATTAACGGATTGGCGAAATGAATAATTGACGAACTAACGGATTGGCGTATTGACGAATTGACAAATTAATGGAATGGCGAAATGATGAATTGACGAATTGGCGGAATGAAGAATTGACGAATTAACAAATTGGCGGATTGACGAATTAACGGATTGGCGAAATGAAGAATTGACGAATTAACAAATAGACGGATTGACGAAATGATAAATTGACGAATTAACGGATTGGCGAAACGAATAATTGGCGAATTGACGCATTAACGGATTGACGAAATGACGAATTGACGGTTTGACGAAATGACGAATTAACGAATTGACGGATTGACGAATTAACGGATTGACGAAATGAAGAATTGACGAATTAACGAATCAATGACTTTTAGCAAATTATAATTAGTAAAATTACAATTTTAATAATTATTAGTTAATTTATTAATTGTTTAATAAGTAGCGAATAAAAAAGCTATTGACTAATTGTTTAACGAATGAAGATTGCTAAAAATATTAATTTATATTTTAGGTGGATTGCAGGAGTTATTGTTTGGTTTTCTATTATAGCCGTAGTGGTTGCTTTAGGAGCTGGTGAGTACAGCAAGTTTTTCGAAATATTTTTTATTATTTTGTCTATATTTGTAGGGGTTTATTTTTCGGCGATCTTTTACTCACAATACAAGAAGGAATTCGAAGCAGATTGGACCAAAACATCAAGCAAAACCAAACGAGACATCTTTTTGGGCCTCCTGATTATCACTTCGGTTGTACTAGGCATTATTCTTCTAGTGCTAATATTTCTACGCAAAAGAATCACATTAGCTATTGCTTTGGTGAAAGAGGGCAGCAAAGCAGTCAGTTCGGTAACTTCAGTCCTATTCTTCCCTATCGTTCCATGGGTACTTCAAGTTGGGGTGGTGGCGTATGCAATTTGCGCCGGAGTGTATTTAGCCACTGTAGGAGAACCCCTATATCTCTATAAAGATATATCTGATGCCTGTAACGGAGAATCTTATTGGCAGGTAAACTCGCTTGTCAATTGTAAATATTAATAATATCTGTGGCGGGTATATTACTCAACAAGCTTAAAAAATAAAAAGAAGATTTAGTATATTATTCATGTTATTTTTTGTAAAAAGCCACATGTTTACAATCTACGATACAAACTTTTTACTGGTTGTCTACAGGGTGGTCCGAACTGTATTCCGGAAACTTCACCAGTATATTTTGCAGATAAAAATAAGTAAAAAAGTTCGTATAAATATATGTCTTAAAATTCTTACTTTCGGAGATACAGGGTGCGAAGTTTTATTGTTATTTCGATTTTTTCCAAATAATTTCTGAAGTAGCGTCAATATTTCTATGACAATTGGTGTCTGGGAGCTTTTTGACATGAGAAATTTGATTTTGATGTCAATATGACTCCTATTTGCACGGGACGCCAATTACATGTTTTTTTAACTGTTTTGAAAAGTAATAACTTTTCGTCCCTACCTGCATAAAACAACAGAGTAATGCATTTACAACGTTTTTTACATATTAACACAAAAATTAATTACATTTACATATACATTTCCATGATTAGTAGGAGTAGGAGTCATATTGACATCAAAATAAAATTTCTCATGTCAAAAAACTGCCAGGCACCAATTTTCATCCAAATATTGACGTTACTTCAGAAATTATTTAGAAAAAATCGAAATAAAAATGAAACTTCAACACCCTGTATCTCCGAAACTAAGCATTTTACGATATTCATTTATACGAACCTTTTTACTTATTTTTATCTGCAGAATATGCTGCCGAAGTGTATAGTCCTTATCCAATATATTTAACTTTTTTAATAAATTTTTTTATTTTTCTTATTACAGAACAACACACAATGCTTTCCATCAAATTTTTCAACAAGCAGTTACACCAATTGCAATGAAGCGAAATGCAGGTTCTATAGTATCACCAACGAAGCCTACTACCCTTATTTTCAAGGTAAGATAATGTATAAGAACGTGAAAAATACATAATACTAAGTTTATCTATTAAGTTTATTAAGTTTATCTTACCACAAGACGATTGCACCAACAAAGGATTAAAAATAGATGGAGAATATCTTAACCATCTAAGATTCGCTGATGACATAGTCCTAATTGCCAATAATCCTGAAGAACTACAAACACAAATTAACGAACTAAATACAGCCAGCAACAAAGTAGGTATTAAAATGAATTTAACAAAAACTAAAGTCATGTATAATCAAATAGTAGACAGAAAAGACATTCTAATAAATAACACAACACTGGAAGAATATATACAATATTTAGGACATCTAATACACAGATCGGGAACTCAATCATATTCAAATCTAGAATGCCACATTATATAAAGAAGAAAACATTACTGGACACTTAAAACGGACATTATAAGGAAACTGTAGGTCGCACAACGCTCAATGGAACGAAAAATGCTGGGAATATAACCAAGAAAGACCGTAAAAGAACAGAGTGGATACAATAAAAGACCCAGGAAATAGATGTCATCCACAGAATCAAATTCCTAAAGTTGCAATGGGCAAGACATCTGGCAATAAGGACGGTCAAGAGGAATTAAGAAACCTAAAAGAACACCAAACCTGAGATGAGACCATGCTATTAGGAAATTAAGAGGGATAACTTGGACCCGCATAGCCAACAATGACCAACAATGGGTTCAACTCAGTGGCGTGTCGTATTGAAGGGTCAGGGGGCGAACGACCCCTCCGCCCCTAGGCGATTAGCGCCTCTGGCGCCCTTTGAAAAAAAAAAATAGAAAAACTAAATTTAACGCAAAAACAAACGGTGCCCTACCGTGCCCTTAGCTCTTCAAGATAAAAAATGACGTACTATATATTTCTCACATATTATTTTTGTTTTTTAATGTTTACTTATATTTAATAATTTAAATCTCTAATGAAGTAGGCGTATACGTACGAAAGTTTTCATATGTGTTTGAAACTACGCTACCGCTAGACCATTGTCTAGAAATAAAAATACAATGGCTAGACATAGCGTTGCGCCTGCGCCGCCAAAGAAAGAGACGATAGCAGTCGCGATGGAAATAAATTCGGGGAATCACCGACCGAAATATAATCGATTATAATGAAGTGCTGAACTTAATATCAATTTATGTACAGCTGCTCATATGATTACTGTGGTAACTATATAAAGATCTCAAATCATTAAGAAATGAAAAATATTTTGAAAATTAAAATTTTCTGTTTTTATAATTTAAAAAACAGGCTACTATTTTGGCAAATAAATGCAATACGTCAACATCATTTTCCCCAAAAAGACAAAGAAGAATAAAAAAAACATTCATGATGAAATCCAGAATTATTGCCTACATCAAAATTCTGAAGATAATTTCAAGATATCAGTGTTTTATGGTACGTAGACATTTTAACTGGTACTCTAGAGAATCGGTTTGAAGACTTCCTTAATATATGCCAAAAATGTAATTGTTTATTGGATATGGACGTCAATGATGATAATTTAAAATGTCTTATGGATCTACATATATTGTACCAAGCGGATGTTAAACCTTCTTTAGCTGAGGAATATAAACATTTTTGCAGTTTATTAGAAGAAATTAATGCTGATGACGACAAACTTGCACCTGACGAATATTTATCATTTTTAATTTCCAATGACCTAGAGTCTTCATATCCATCTTTATGTGCATTACTGAGGATTTTTACGCTATAGCCACCAACAGTGCTGGTGCAGAACGATCTTTCAGTAGATTAGGAAGAATTAATAATTACCAGAGGTGCACCAGCACACAAGATAGAACCAATTATTTATCACTTCTCAGTATTGAAGCAGACACAGCCCAGGATCTAAATATAGACGAAATAATTGATTCTTTTAAATCGATTAAAACAAGACGCTTGCATCTTTGAAATAACTGTTTTGTATACTAACTTTTTTAATAAACAAATGTATAATTAAAAAAAAAGTTTTCATGTACTATTATTATTTAAAAAAAAAGTTTGTAATTTATTTGATCCTTTGTTGATCATTGCGCCCCTTAAGGTCTTCGCCCCCTCCGCCCTTTTATCCACGACACACTACTGGTTCAACTACAAAGAGATTAGCTAATTATGTGGGGGAGGCTACACCATAATTGTAAATGGTTGAATAAGCTGAAAATGATGATGATGATAATACATTAATCAAAATGCAAACAAAACTATAGAGAACATATGTCAATGAAATGAAATAGAGAAAACATTACTGAATCTGGTAGTATTTTGTAAAACCAAATTAGAATATAAGATTTGTACCTTTTTTGCGTGATTTTATTCTATGTAATTAGTTTAAATTGTTTGTATGTTGCAGCTTTCAATATCTTCGAATTTTTCTGGATGGCTTTCTTCATTACCGCCCTGGGCCAAATGGTTTTGGCTCAAGTATTCGCTAAATGGTACTGGACCAAGAAGAAGAGTGACCTACCCTTCTTTGCCGTTACATCTGCTACCTGCACTACCCTCCGGTACCACTTGGGAACAATTGCCTTTGGATCGCTTATAATTGCAATTTGTCGAATAATCAGGCTATGTCTAGAATACATTGACCGGAAACTGAAGAAGTATGATAATGAACTGACCAAAGCCATCATGTGTTGTTTGAAATGCTTTTTTTGGTAAGATATTTTCTTTATAGGCTTGGTGCATTCTCCGCTGTGCTGCCACCATCGGAAAATATCGAAAAAAAGCTAATATACAGTGGTCCGAACTGTATTCCGGAAACTTCGGCAGCATATTCTGCAAATAAAAATAAGTAAAAAAGTTCGTATAAATGTATGTCCTAAAGTGCTTACTTTCAGAGATACAGGATATAGAAATTTCATTTTTATTTCGATTTTTTCTAAATAATTTCTGAAGTAACGTCAATATTTGGATGAAAATTGGTGTCTAGGAGTTTTTTGACATGAGAAATTTTATTTTGGTGTCAACATGACTGCTACTAGTAGAGGGCGCCACCGACATGTATTTTAACTGTTTTGAAGCGTAATAACTTTTTGTCTGTACCTGTATAAAGCTACCAAGCGAAAAAATATACATCTCTGTGACTTGTTACGTAAAAATATCTCTTTGGAAAAATCGCTACGAGCAACCGCTCTTAAGATATTTAGAATGGAAATAGACAATACATGTCATTATTGACGAAAAATAAACACGTTGAGTAGATAGTTATTTCACTGAAATAATAAATTGGGGATTTTTTTTTTTAATTTATCATAAATTTTTCTGCAAAAAATGATGATAAAACAGTTTCTGTTGAACTTTTGGCACAAAAACATTTCAAATTTATGATTTCAGTCTAATAACTATTTAGTCAACATATGTATATGTTTAATTTATGTCAATGATGACAGGTATTGATAATTTCGATTCCAAATATCTCGAAAACCATTACTCGTAGCGATTTTTACCAAGAGACCTTTTTCACGTAAAAAAACGTCGTAAATGTATATTTTTTACTCAGTAGTTTTATAAAGGTACGGACGAAAAGTTATTACTCTTCAAACCAGTTAAAAATATGTAGGTGGCGCGCTCTACTATTAGGAGTCATATTGACATCAAAATCCAAATTTCTCATGTCAAAAAACTTTCAGACAGCAATTTTCATTCAAATACTGACGTTACTTCGAGAAATTCTTTACTACGAGAAATTATTTGGAAAAAATTGAAATAAAAATGAAATTTATACACCCTGTATCTTCGAAATTAAACATTTTAGGACATACATTTATACGAACTTTTTTACTTATTTTTATTTTTAGAATATGCTGCCGAAGTTTCCGGAATACAGTTCGGGCCACCCTGTATACAAATACACGGGTTTAACACGTTGAGCCCCGGCGTGACAAATGTTTTGTTGGGACCGGTTTTTTTTTCTGCTTCAGAACTTTATATTTGGTCTACACATGTGTAGCTAAGGTTTAATATACGCCGAAAAAGGCATTTTCAAGTTTTTTTTGTTTGTTTATTTTTGAATCATCGCGTTGATGCCACCCCGTCCTAAGGATGAAATATTCTTATCTGAACCGTGAGTACCCATAGTAGTAAAAGCATTTATAGACCTATCGGACCAAATGAAAGCATACCACTACTGTTTGAGAAGAGGTACTAAATGGTACAGGAAGCTGGCCATGGAAATTATGTTTGGATCTGCATTGGTCAACGCATTTGTTCTTTTTAAAGACATTACCCACAAAAAAATTTCAATTACTGAATTCAAAAAACAAATAGCCATGAAATTATTGCATCTAAATAGCCTTGAAAATATAGATACAGAAAATATATAGATATATAAAAAATATAAATAAATACATAGAAAAAAAACTGCTAAAAAATGATCGTCTGTTTTACTATGCGATAAAATTTATAGGTTCTAAAATTTCCCCAACCCGCTAACATGCATGTACCCTTTGGACCGCAGATTTTCAAAACCGACTACATTTACACAGCAGCGTGCAATCGCCTTGATGCCTCGGCGTCCGAAATCAAATCTTAATGTGTGGCATCATTGTGATATTACGCGGTCCAAGGGGTACACTAAAGTGAGGCATCAGTGAAATGCCACCCGGGGCTTGACGTGTTAAATAGCGAGTATACCCAAAATGTATTATTTAATAATTCAAGTGTTAAGAGGTATAATTTGTGAAAATTCTATAAATAAAAATAAAAAAGAAATATTTTGATATCTTCAGAAGGTCTAACTTGTATTATAATTTATTATTCCAGTTAAAACAACGTTTTAGATGAGTTCGACTACTGTAGCGAGCATAGTTTTAATCACCGGTTTTGCTAGTGGGGCATAATTGGGGCTATTTCGGCTATAACGAAATTTTTAAAGGTACATAATTATAATTTTAGAAGATGTTCATAAAACATTTAATCGCTAGTTGATTAAAAAAATGATACCATTAATATTGTAAATTATATTTTATCCTCTCATAGTATATGTCTATTTAATCTTTTGATTGTGTAACGAGCACTTTGTTTACTCACTTGTTTCGTCGAACTGCTTTAATCCATTTTTGCTTAAAAATGATGATCAAATCGGTGTGAGAAACTATGAACCTGTAAAATGTTGTTTCGGGAGAGTTGAATATCCGGGAAAGGTGAGTTATAGAATTTTTTATTGAATGTTAGTGCATCCAACAACGCCCTAATTACACTCTCCTTTACGCGTTAACATCTTTCCGACAATTTTATTTACAATCAGGGGCGGATACAGTAATTTATTTTAGGGGGGAGGGGGAAATAAAAAATAATGCAAAATATGCCTTTTAGGGCGCCATTTTTAACCCAAAAGCTTAATATTTAACCCAATTTACAGATTTTTTGGGGGGGATCGGGCCCATGGGCCCCCTCACTGTATCCGCCACTGTTTGAAATTGTCACAAAACAACACGACGCACAGTGTAACGAAAACTAAAATAGTGGGACATTGGCATTTTTCTTCAGTTATCACTATTCTTGCTGACATTTTTTGACAGAAATTAAATAATACGACTAGGAATTTTTGCTACAGGGCGAAAATAGTAAAAAAAGGCGTAATGGAAGATCAAAAAAAATACGAAGTTTTATAAAAGGACTTTACAGGTATATTTTTTATTTACGAAGAGTTTATAGCTCTTATGGACCAAAAACGTTATCAAATGACTGTCGAACAATCATTTATCTCTTGCTAATATGTCAAAACTCAATCAACATTCCTAAATATTCAAATAATCAGGAATAAATTAGATAAGACTGCAAAACTCATAATATGTAAGGCACTTACATAAAACATGCTTAAAAATCATTCTCAATTTCTTCTCCATCCATATACAAGAGTTCTTTCGCTTCCGGAAGCAAGTCTACTTTTTTATTTTTAGAGTGCTTTGGTCGCAGATGTGAAAGTAGAGGATCTGAATATATCAATAAGTTGTGCAATATATCTTCAATAGTTTGGCACCAACAATGATGCAGCATTGAGGGTGGAGTGTTAAATACATCGAAGAAAATTTTGCCGGTTTGAAAAAATATTCTCTTGAGTAATTTTTCTCCAACGTTGAGATTTTCTGAATTGTTGTAAACTGTCCCCCACCACAATGTAAGGATGGTTCCTCGCCCCTAAAATAGCATTCAGTATGTTCATAGCAAGCGTATAGCTTTTTCAATAAAGATATTATATCACAAAAAATTACAGATAAAAACTACGGTCGAATCAATGGAAAACGTAATTATTGCCGAAGAAATTTATTTTTTTCTTCCAGGTTCGGATTTAGGTGGATGAAATTTATATGTAACAGTATACTAGAAGGTTCACTCTATGATATTTTGTATATATAACCTTGCGCGAATGTAAGCGTTTTTTTGAAAGTCATAATAAACATGTAGAAACTAGACTTGAAAAAAATTGGGACATTTTTTTCAGGTTTGTTGTTGGTAAAAAGACCTCTCTTTATGGAAAAAATTATTGGAATTGAACAACACATGGAAACTTCTGAAAATAATAAATTTCATTGTATGAAATTTTTGTACAGATTTGGTAAATTAAGGAAACCATAACTTTAACCCGCCATAACGCCCCGACTAAGAGGTCAACTCAAGAAATATCTCACATAGTGGGGCTCTGGGATGTCCTTTATCCATATATATATATATATATAAAACTTGATGAATTAAATTATTTGTTTTTTGGGTTAATGTCCCGCATTTCCCGATTTCGTTACACTGTGCGACGCCTTGTTTGAATTCTTTTTCACTTATTTTTTACTACCCGAAACAGTGTTACATCACGCATATCTCGTCCCTGAGTGTTTTATAGTCTTAATAACTGCACCAGCAAAAAATTAAAATATTTAAATATTATGACCAAACCACGGTTTCAATATTATTTTAATGCGATCAACATGACGGCGCCGGCGTGAACTATATATTGATAATTTCAGATTTTTGCCGCTGATGCGTTACGGTCGGAATGTGTTGAAATCAACTGAAATGCACCAAGCCTATGGAATTGTAGGTGTACTTTATATTAATGCAACTTTTTTAGGTGCCTAGAAAAGTTTTTGAAGTTTATCAATAAAAATGCGTACATTATGTGCGCCATACATGGAAAAAACTTTTGCTCCAGCGCAAAAGATGCCTTCTCACTTCTAGTAAGGAATATAATCAGAGTGTTTATATTAGATAAGGTAAGGATAGTGTTTGGGTATCTAACCAACTCATAACAGGGTTATACAGGGTCCGGCAATAGTGCTCCGGGCATCTGTAGCTCCTGGAATAAAAAAACTTTTTTGTTTAAGTGTAAATCAAAAGTATGTACGAGGATGTATTTCAGGAAAACATTTTAACTTCTATAGGGATGATTTTTTTTAAATGGGACATCCTGCATAATATTGCATTTTTAGGATATGAGTAAATATTTTTCGATAGTTTCAGAAATATTAATAAGTAAATAAAAAATATTTATTTTTCAACCTTTCTTTAAAAAATATTAAAAATACAAGAACTGTCCTAAAATCAAAACTATATTACGTATTTACTACTTTAAATGGTCTAAACTTAACTTTGCTGTAAATATCGCAATATTAAATCATACAGAATGTTCAAAATTCTACTCCAAACTTTCTAAAATATAAAATAACTAGTTGAAGCCTGGCGCATCCGCCACGACATAAGGAAAAAAATACTTTTTATTTTTTTTAATTAAATGAAAAACAAAAAATCGGGCGACGACAGTTTTTAGAAGAGCCAATTAGCTATCTTTTAGTAAAAAAAGCAACTTTCTAGAGCAAGTCGTTACTTCAGCAGAGACGACACAAATAAACATTAGCATTTTATATATGTAGATTTTCCTTTGTTTTTTTAAATGGAACGCCTTGTATATTATTTTTTTTATTAGATGGAGAATTAAAACACGTAGTATTATTTCATATGGCTCTCTCAACGGTAAAATACCAGAGAGGAATTATTGGGTGGCTTTGATAAAAATTTATTGTGGAAAATGATAATATACAGGGTGCTCCATTTAAAAAAACGAAGAAAAATTATTTTATATTTTAGGAAGTTTGTCGTAGAATTTTGAACCGCCTGTATGATTTACAATTACCATATTTATAGCAAAGTAAGTACAGACCATCATTGGCGTAACTACAGGGGTGCCCGGGGGTGCCGGGCCCCCCCAAGTACTGCTGGGCACCCCCAGAGAAATCTTGAATCATGACTCTTGGCTACGTATTAATTTTTATTTGCTTTTGATGTACTAAAAATTACGTTTTCTAGTTTTGTTTAGTTAATATTATTTTGTTGTGTTCAAAAAATGTGTTAATTTTTATTTTTTTAGAAAATTTCTAGGTATGTAAGTAATCTACGGGAACACGGTTTGATAACCAAGTCTATGAAATTTATTGATAGAGAAATTCATGTAAACGTTTTATTCAAAAAATGTGTTTTTTTAAATTATTTTTCATTTTTAAAAAGACAAAAGCCCTAGGCCCCCCCTAGGCTCAAACCCAGGCCCCCACAGGCCCACCCCAGGAAAAATTGCTAGTTACGCTAATGCAAATACTTAATATAGTTTTGATTTCAGAACAGTTCTTGTATTTTTAATATTGTTGTCAATTATATATTGTCAATTTCAATGTTTAAGGCCGAAAATATATATTTTTTATTTATTTAATAATATCTCTGAAATTATCGAAATATATTTACTCATATCTTAGGATTATGTAAAGTAGTCTGAAAGGCAGCCAAAAATGCAATAATATACAGGGTGCTCCATTTAAAAAAAATCATCCCGATCCACTAACACTTTTTTGAGTCACCCTATAGAAGTTAAAATATTTTCCTGGAATACTACCTAGAACATACTTTAGATTTGTACTTAAACAAAATTCTTAAGTATTTTATTCTAGAAGCTACAGATGTCCGACACAGAATTGCCGAACCCTGTATGTCCACGAAATATTTGACACCCTGTATAAAAAGGGCACTTTAATCACTTTCTGAGTGGCCGTGGGCAAAGGCTGTCAGAAATTTAAGAAAAAATTATAGCTTTTCTCACTTTATTAACACTATATCATTAATGAAAAATTTATTATCGATTTAGTTAACAAAATTTTTTATTGCTTTTAGGTGACCGACTTTTTATTCTTCTTGTCGAAATTAGTCGTTACCATAGGCGTAGGCGCGGTAGCTTACGTCTTCTTCGCCACTGATCTCATATCATTTATGGATAACTCCGGCCTAAACTATGGCGTCGTTCCAGTTATTATAATAATGATTGTGACATATCTGGTTGCAACGTTGTTCTTTAACGTCTACAGTATGGCGGTGGATACGTTGTTTATGTGTTTCCGTAAGTACTATTTTGTTTTAATTTCTTTTTTTTTAATTCTTATCTTGTTCGTAATATTTAATAGGTACTTAAAATCATAGATATGTATAAAAGAGACTAACCAGATATACAGGGTGTTTCAAAATTGTGTCCTTTCTCGTGGGGTGATTCTTCACGTAAAAAAAAAGAATTATTTTTCATATTAACATATAGAGTCCGATTCTGCTTTGTTTCGTAGCTAAAGGGGATTAAAGTTTTTTTTTCGTTTTATTCTAATTTTCTTCCAAAAGCTTTTAGTGATTCGAATGAAATTTTGAGTGTAAAAGTTAGTATAAATGCTACATATTTTAAAGCTAAAAAATGCTTCCAGTTTTTTATACTTTATGATAGGTATACAAGGTGCCACAAATTCGAGGTACGAGCATTGGTATCTCGGAAACAGTAATAGATACGAAGATGGTTAAATTTAACCATCTTCGTTGCCCCAATGCCCCAATTGGGGCAAAGTTGGTCCTTGGTATGTTTACCAAGATGCCATCAAAGAAAAATTTCAAGGAATGATGATTTTTTTTGGAAAAAACGGAATTTTTTTTAAAAATAAATTTGATTTTTTCCTGTCGTTACTTTTTAGGAAATCAAAGAACTAATTGCACATTCTCTATTAGGGTTATTTGATAGTATTTTTAGATTTTCAAATTAGCTGATAATTTGTGAGATACAGAGGCCAACTTAATTTTTTTAAATACGGACCTGCATTTTTTATTTCAGGTTGTGAGTACATACTCCTGAGTACAGTGATATGCCACACTTTATATTTTTATTTTGTTTTGGGTACCTTATTAACAACAAAACTATTTAATTATTATTTAAAATAATTTCAAACCCGACTCTGTTTTTTTAAATTATTTAATCTGATTATATTCATCGCAACAATATTGATCAGCGCTAATTAACATTGAATAAGTGTACGAAATTTACGATGTGAACCACAGAATATCTAGCTAGCTTGAGTAGCTAGATATTCTGTGATGTGAACAGTGTACGATCTAATAATATGCACAGTATTAATCGTAATTATTATAAATAAATCAACTTCTACAAACTAGTTTCTAATGCTCTGCATGTTCGAAAGGATTACCACCCTCCATAATGCACAAATTTGTTTTTCGTTCAATCTTATTTATAGCTCTTTGAACAGATCTTCTTCTTATACTTTCGAATGCATTTTGTATTCTTTAATTGTTTTTTATTACTCGTTAACTGTTTTTGTACTCTTAATGTTGAAATGTATTGATTTCAAATGCCCAAAACAATTTTTATTGATTTTCCTTATTCAGTGTTAATTAGCGCTGATCAATATTGTTGTGATGAATATAATCAGATTAAATAAATTAAAAAACTAGAACCAGATTTGAAACTATTTTAAATAACAATTAAATAGTTTTGTTATTGTCAAGGTACCCAAAACAAAAAAAAAAGTATCAAGTATGGCATATCATTGTACTCAGGAGACCGAGTTCTTTTAAAAACCTGAAATAAAAATGCAGGTCCGTATTTAAAAAAATTAAATTATCCTCTGTATCTCACAAATTATGAGCTAATTTGAAAATCTAAAAATACCATCAGATAGCTGTAATAAAGTGGCTACGAGAATGTGCAATTAGTTTTTTGAGTTTCTAAAAAGTAACGGCAGGAAAAAATAAAATTGATTTTCAAAAAAATCCGAATTTATTCCAAAAAAACTCATCAATCCTTGAAATTTTTAATACTTCTTTGATGGCATCTTGGTGAACATACTAAAGCGCAACTTTACCCCAATTTAGCCATGTTCGTATCTTTTATGGTTATCAAGATACCAATGCTCGTACCTAGAATTTGTAGCACCCTGTATAGCAAATACATATTATGATGGTTTTTATTATGAATTCCATTATGGTCAGTAGTTTTTTAGTTTTTAATTAAACATATATTTGCATAAAAGCAAGAAATGTATAATTTATTTATATGCATTCTTAATATTTATCTGAAAATTTTTCGTTTTAGTGGAAGACATTGAAAGAAATGATGGAAAAACCAAACCATATTATATGTCCAGGAATTTAATGAAGATTTTCGGTAAAAAAAATGTAATAAAGAAAGATGAATAATTTTAAAGACATGGACTATTATTACCGATGTATTATATTTTTGTATACGGCAGTACAATCAATGAAAGTGTTCTTATTTATAGAAAATCGATAAGGCTGTGGAGAAAACAAAGAGTATTTGATATAAACCTAGGTTTAAGATTTTTATTAAGTCAGTATTAATAACGTACGTAAACTACAGATTTTTAAGTCTAGCTGTCATTTTATTTATATATTATTTACGTTTTTGTGTTGTGTAGGTCTAGTTATTCTTGTATTTTATTTTTAAAAACTACTGTATACCTATAAGGTTTTTAATAATACGATTTTACGAATTAATAAAAAAATATATGTTTTAAGGATATTTTTCTAATTTATACAGGGTGTTTCAAAAACCATGTGCCATCTCTCGTGGAGAGATTCCTCACGTAAAAATAAGACTTATTTTTCATATCAACATATGTCCGATTCTGCTTTGTTTCCTAGCTACAGGGTGTTACCCCAGAAGTCTTAATATTTTTTCGATTTATTATACTTTTCTTCCAAGTACATTTAGCGTTTCGAATGAAATTTTCAGGGTAAAAGTTACTATAAATGCGACATATTTTAAGGCTAAAAAAATCACCAGGGACGTAAGCAGGATGGGTTTGCAGGGTAAGCAGGAAGGACGTTGCAGATGGGTTAGCACTGGAATATTTTTCTAAAAAAAACGTAGCCACTGACTTTCTTTTCTTTCGTTATCGTGTGTAAATAGTGTAAGCAATTTAATGTCGATTAAAAGTTGTCTCTTGGTATTTTGTCGATTTCGGCTTCCTTGATGAGAAAAACGCAATTTTATTAATTTGCTTTGATCCAAGCCTAATACCTTTAAAAAATTTAATATCATAAACTTGGGAAAGTTTTAAATAAGTACTCACTAATTCCTCATCAAAAAATATGCAAAAAAGTTCATATAAACATGGGTATGGAAATGCATAATTTTAGATATTACAACTTTTTAAAATTAGATTTTTTGTAATTATCTTAAATACCATTATTTTTTTATTTGAAATTGCTGTAGGTAGGACTAATAGTAATTATAACTAATAATAATAATATTTAATAATAACTTAGTGGTAAAATATATAATTTATTAATTTTAATTTTGATTAAATTTTATCAGTTGTGATTAATAAAATTGCGTTTATCTCATCAAGGAAATCAAAATCGACAAAATATCAAGATACAACTTTTAATTGGCATTAAACGGCCTACCCAATTTTCTGTTAAAAGAAAAAACTCAGTGGCGTACAGGTTTTTTTTAAAATATTCCAGTAATAACCCATATGCACGTCCCTGATGAATTTATCGACACTTTTTTAACATTAAAATACGTGGCACATATAGTAACTTTTACCCTCCAAATTTCATTGGAATCAGTAAAAGCACTTGGAAAAAAATTATAATAAATCGAAAAAAAATCATAAAATTATTATAATAATAATCAATTTTTAATAAATACCCAAGCAGCATTTGGACGTCGGGACAACGTTGTGTCACGCGACCAAACGTCGGGACGCAACGTCGGCACAGCCTCGTGCCAACCCTAGTCTGCACTAGTTTGGAGAATAATTTTTGGGTCGAAACGACGATGGATACCGACGTTGGCTAGAAGCCTAATTTAGTACAAACTGCAACGTTGTTTAAAATCCTAATTCACAGAAATACAAAACTAATATGGCGTCTAAGTCGCGTTTTATCCTAAATTGGGATAATTATAGTAAAAATATTATATTTATAATTTAGTTAGAGACATATGTCAGATGGCAGTGAAGGAAAACAAAACAAAAGTATTTAAGTGTGGAGGATGTTTGAAGATCATAATTATTGAAACACTTTAACCGACTCTGTAACTCGTTACCCAAGGTAAAAAGTTAAACGCAAACAACTTTATTGATAAATGTATTGTTTCTACTTTAAAAAATACTAATGGGCCTTGAAATTAAAGAAGTTTTAAAAATTTTCTTGAATTTTTTTTTTAGTAAAATGAGAATAATTTATTCGCATTCGAAAAAATTGTTTCCGCGTATTTTTTAGGGTCAAATATTTCAAGTTAATGTATTCAAAAAGCAGGAATTGCTATTTTAAGAACGAAACATTTTCTTATTTAACAACATGGCGGCTTTAACTTTGTTGTTTTGGAGATTAAGATGGAGTAGTTCGAGTAGTCGCATACTGGACTAATAAAGTCGCAGTTCGGCCTTAACAGGTAGTATACTAGTCGCAAGATTGCCTAATTTAGTCATTCTAGAGTCTAGCTTGTGCCGCCCTCTATAATCTAAATAAACGAGGAAGTGTCGGTAATATATGTCGATGTATATTTAAATTTAGTTTTATATGTACCTTTCTTATGTCCCATTTTAATTAAGTTTTTTTTTTATAAAAACAAAAACAGCACTGAACTGTCTGACTGAACAGAACAATGAATTGAAAATTTAAGATTTAAGGTTATGGTTCAATACAGTTGCAAAAAGGTAGTGACTCTACGTCCTACCAACGTAAGAATAAGGAAATCTAAACAACGTTGGAATTAGTAAAACAGACGACGTTTGCATAACGTTGGAATAGGTCCTGAAACTGACGTCGGAAAACTCTATATTATCCAACGTTGTAACTACGTTGTCCAAATCACCTAAAGATCACTTAAGCAAAAAAGGTTACAAGACAACGTTTATTCGACGTCGCAGAAGCTTCTACTTTGCTGTAGTACTAGTCCAACGTCGGCACAACGTTATAAAAACGTTTAAATTTATTTTAATACCTAAGGTAGGGAGCTAACTATTTTTTGTAACTAATCCAACGTTGTGTTTAGTAAACATGTGGTCGCAAGTCGTGAAAATGCTACTTGGGTAAAAATATTGTAATATCATAAAAATATTGTAATTACTATATAATTACTATATTCCTGCAGTTTAAGTGGAAAGTTTTGTTCATAAATATCTGCTATATATATAATAAACGCGTGTTCAAATATTAATTTTGTGGAATATATATCAATATAACATAAAACGAGATGTAATTAACGAAATATCATCCTAACAACAGCTATTGTAGAAACGTCTAGGTTTACTAATTTCACTGATATTTATGAAAAAAAATCCTTTGCCTCGGATACAGACACCGCCACGTTTTGGAAATTTTTGGAAGCTTAAAACAAAATAAAATTGAACGAGGCAACAAAAGTCGCCAAAAAAAATCCCCCACGCCTTCCTCACGAGAAGTTTTCATACCCCAGTCAAATTAGTTAAAAAAGGCCCATCGGTGAAAAAAATTCCCACAGTTTTGAAAATGGTTTTAAATGATTTCTCTAGACTTGGGCTCGAGGAGTGGGGAGGAGTTAAATGTTAATTTTTTCACTCTTCTTTTTTGCTTGTATCTCGGAAACTATGACATCTATCGAAAAACGCTCTATATATAAAAATAAAACTGACAAAATTCTCTATAATAATGATTCTATGCATTTTTGTTTCCAGACTTATGGTTTCCGAACTATGCCCTTCATAAATTTGGGTACTAAATCAAATGGCATATTCCAAATCCGTACAAACACATTTTTTTTTATTACTGCGCTATATGCTGTGGTATACTTTTTTTACCGTAAAGAAGGCATGCATTAAGCCCCATCTCACACTTCGCTACTTCACTTCGTTCCTTCCTCGCGTCCCTTCGTCCAAAAATCATATATTTACTATGGGAAAATGTCGATTTTATGCGACTGTGTGTTCCTTCCTCCTTCGTCAAAACGCTACTTCGTCCGTTTACTTCCTCGAAACGCTCCTTCCACGTACTGTCGGTTTTGGAGGAAGTAGAAAGGAATTATCACGAACACAAAAAATATTAAAATATATAAATCGATCTTGGATTTCATTCGTAGTTGATTTCTTGATTTGGCAGTACGTCTGTACAGGGTGTCCCATTTTCGTGCGTTTTGCAGGGTTTCTCGTTTATGAGTCGAGATACAAAGATGCGGTTTTCACATTACGCTGTTACTTTTTTATGAAACTAAAGATGCTACATACAAATATGTCCTAGCTCTCTTACTTCCTAAAATACAGGGCGAATGTGAAATTATTGCATTTTTCGAACCCTTTTGTATCATAACTTATCGAAAAGGTGAAAACGGTCTCTCGTACAGTTTTTCACGTAGAATGCAGTGACGTAACTATTTCTTCGTTGGAATCTGTCTTTTTTTAAATTGACTAAAACTTATATGTTTTTCTAAATACGATATTTTGTATATTATTTTATTTTCCTTGTTACGAGCTTGGTAAAAATGCATTATTTAACTTTATTTTTTGTATATTATTTTATTTTCCTTGTTACGAGCTTAAACGGTGTAAAAATGCATTATTTAACTTTATTACATAGTCGGCCGGTTTAAATTACGTAATCAAAACAATCAACAATGTTGGTTATTGGCATGTTATTTAAAAGCAGCACAAGTTCAGTTTCCGTGTAGTTTATCAAAATATCACGATGCAAAGCAAAATTATCTGGTAAAATTAAGTTAAATAAACGGCTCTTATTTTATAAGAGCCGTTTAGCAGTTTAGCAGTACCTAAATAAATAAATATAGGGTATATTATAATTTTCGAAAGCTCATAACAAGGCAAATAAAATAAAAAATAATATATAGAGTGTCCTGTTTAAAAAAAAGAACATAAGTTTGAGTCATTTTTCGAAATAGACAGCTCTCAACGAAGAACCACTTTCGTCACTGCCATTCTACCTGAAAAACGAAACACGGGCGGTGGGTAAGTACTCAATAGGTAGAACAAAACAAAATCAGGGTATCCGGTATATACCTGTACATTTAGATGAACAGTCTAATTTTATAAAAGGTATTTCCAACGATCGCATAGTAAATACCCGGTATAATACCAGTAATATCAGAAATACGCGTACAACTTAACAAGTATAGCTAGAGACGTGAGAAATATAAAATAAGAGACGCCCCTCGATGCGCAGTGGACAGCACACAAATTTGCTGTGATCAGATTTTTCGTAGCGTAACTGGGCCCGAATTCTGTAACGTAGAAAACGCTAAGCGCTTTTAGACGCTCAGCGTATATGACGTTAATTTTTGCTGAGCGCGCACTTAACTAACGATTTGGGTATTCTCGTCTGACGCGCTTAGCGTCTTTACTGATTGCGCTAAGCGCTTTGAAAACGGTTGTCTTAAAGGATCGTTTTGCTTGTCGAACTGTCAGTAAAAATCGAAAAAATTGTGATTTCGTGCGTTATCTTGCTCTTTAGTGAAAACTACTACTTGTTCTATAAATTCCTAAATAAGTAATCGACAAATTACAAGTTGGTAGCTAT